ATCTGATGTGGGCAGTGACAGAATGAAGGCAAACCATTATAGATCAAGTGGACTGGGGTGAACTTTCTGGAAGTTCCTTGCTATTATAAAGCACCTTAATTTCTAAATAAAGCAAATTACTCAAGAGTAACTTAGGAGAAAAGAAGATAAATGTTATGTAGTTCAGAGTCCTTGTAAATTAGACATACATTTTGACCTATATTATTCAAAAATAGAAAGAACATAGATTTTGTGACTCAGCAAGACCCAAGCTGGTCTACACTGCCTTGCCCTTTATCAGGAGCTATTGCCCATCCACCACTCAATGCCTCTGAGGCTTACATTTCTTATAAATGAAAAGGGAATATTAATATCTAATTCATATGAAAAACCTGAGATGAGTGAACTCTTTGGAACCTGTTTATTAGGATGATGAATTAAATCCTTTAGGGCACCACGCCCAGCACCTGACACATTACTGAACGGTAGCTACTATCATTGTTTTTGCTTTGAGAGTCTTTCTGTTTTATTGATTTCCTCCTGACCTCCCCAAAAGTTATAGAGCATGAGCACTGGGGTTTGCCTTAGTTACTTTTCTCTCCTTGCTGAGACAAAATACCTGACCCTCAAAGTTAAAAGAGGAAAGATTTATTTGGTTACAGTTTGTAGAGGTTTCAGCCTATAATCGGATGGCTCCAAGGCAGGGTGGTAACGAGAAACAGGAAAAGTAGCAAAAACAACAAGGGAACCTTAACAGAATCTTTCTGCCCTTTCATTTTATCCAGACTTCAGGGATTAGGGCGGTGCCAAACCAATCAGTGTAGTGGTTTAGTAATCACACGCCTTTAATCCCAGCATCACACACTCTCGGTTCAGCCAAACTATAACAGGGTCTAAATGAGTCCAGATTTTATTTCTGGCTTTACCATTTACTAATTTGCCAATCTGTTCCTTAACCTATCTGAGCCTCACTTTTCTCAGATATGTAACAAAATCTCGCAGGAATCCTCTGAGGACTAAGACCAATCCATTTACAAACGTGTAGCATAGAACAGCACTGCATGGATGGAAGATATTGTCACAATACCTGGTGTAGACACCCATCCAGAATGTGCAGAAGAACACACGGTCAGGAACATTTTCAAGTAAAAGAGGCAAGAAAGTTTTTCACTATTATGCTTCATTACTTAGAAGAAACACACATTTTTGTAGATACTATTTGGATAGTGACTCACAATTTATAAAATAACTTTGTTACTCGGGAATATACTCCCGGAAACATACCCCAGCTTTGACATTTGTTGCTGCAACCCTGAGGTCATTGCTCTTGCATTCCATCCTACCTTCAAAATTCTTAACAATTAAAAATAACAATAAACTGCAAATGCTAGGGAGGTTATTTTAAAAACTGCAAATATGCTGCTGTCATAGATCTATATTTTTAGAAATATTTGACAGCTGAAATCGGTCAGATGAAGTTGAATGGCAGATCACAGATTTTCCATCTCAGCAGTAGGTCTTGGAGACAGAGGTCTCCTCCTGGTAGTTGACAAAGCACACATAAAAAAGTGGTTTGTTAATTTCTCTCTGATTCTTAGAATACTGTTCAAAATATTAGCTAAGTAACCTGTTGTTATTCAAGCCAAAATGTAATTTAAAAAGCCTCTAGCAGGTGGTATCTGAAACTTATCATAGCAAACCAAGTAGGAGCAAATATGGGTAACGTTCTCAACCTAAATAAATGTGCTGGGTCACGTGCTGAGATTAAGGATGTATTATCTAAACTCAGCAGGAGTGCAATTAAGTGCTAAGAATCAGAAAGCACCTCACAGTTTTATAAGATTGAGCTGTTTTTATTATCATAATAACTGAAGCATGTGCTTAATAACTCATCAAATACATTTATTTCCCTTCAATGTCTACAAGGTCAAAACCAGACACCAGCTACAACTGGAAGTGCCATTAATCCTTGTGGAAAACGGCTGAAAAACAGGACCAAGAAGCAGCAGGCTGGATCTCACGGAGGCTCCCGAGGTGTTTCAGGGACTCTGGGCAGGGAGTCACCTTCAGTGCTCAGTGCTTGCCATACACCCAGTTTATAGAGGACATACAGCCCGTATGCAGCTGTCCCGATTTCCAGTGTTGTGTTCCATACTCGGTTCTTGGTTTGGTGATAATGATCATTATGCTTTAATTTCAAAACATGAAGTATTCTATGAGAAGGGTATCTTCCACTTGTGGTGACTAAAAACTGAAGAACATTGGACCAGCCTTGGTGTTAGACTACTGGGGGAAGCTTTATGCAGGTATTGTGCCTCTACAAGTTTTGGTCTTTGTTTCCTTTTATCACTTCCTTCTTCTTCCCATCACTGACAAGGGATTTCAAACCATTTGAGGACTGTGTCAGTGTTTATACTTAGCGGACTCACAGCTATAATTTTTGTTTATAGTATCTTTGGTCACTTCAAAGCCATTTTACCCATAAACTGTATTGACCTTAACAATGCTGTTTAAGATGAGGAAGCTGAAACATGAAGAGGGTCTATGATATGCTGAGTGCTCACCTCAGGGCCCAAACCCTAGCTCACTGCACCCAGGACTATTACAGAATTTGCTTTTTCCTCAGATTGGCTCAAGATGGACATTCTTCCTCAGCAGCGATTTAAGCATGATGAGCTCTCTGAATTTTCACTTCATCGCTGGTGAATAGGGGTAACCCACTTTGCACGTTTATGTTGGTGATTAAATGAATATGGTAAAACCTAGGACAATGTAAGTCAGCCTCCCAAGCCTCACTCTTGCTGGCACTCCCCATGAAAATGGTTCCATTAGATCTGCTGGGGGACAGTGCAGTCACTCCAAAGTTCAGCCTGGGGCTGAGAAGGCGTAGTGTACTTAATGTATCAGTAGAGCTGCAAATCTAGCTTTCCCAACCACTCCTCAGTTCCCTGCTGCACCCGTTGCAGTGCTGTGTGCTGCAAACGCCCAGACACAGAACGCGCAGACAGAGACAGCCACGAACGGCCAGAACAGACTTGCTGCTGACCTCCTGGCCAGGAAAGAGACTGCAAGATTCATGGTTGGCCACATTTCATAGAATTCTTCGCAAATTCCCCAAAATAATTTCAAATAGGACCCAGTTAAAAAACTACCCCATATCGATTTTATGCTTTGCTGTCAAATGGCATAATTTACCAAATCCTGAAGTGCTGATTTTGTAGACACTGGTACAGCCCTACCTTCTAACGTAGCGTGAAGGAGGTCGGGCGGAGGCCCACCTCACAGTGGCCCCGGGAGTGAGAGGCGTGCAGGGCGGATGTGTTCCTGTGCTGGGGGTGGGGCAGCCACTAAAATTCCCCCTTTCTTCTCCAGTAAAATGGAGTAGAAATACCTGAGTGGAATTTTAAACTCTGAGTCTAATAAATAAATCAAAATAAATAAATAATAAATAAAGGCTATGACTCCATCTTGTTTGTTAAACCCTAAAAATATTTAAAGCCAACAAAATGATTTGCCATTCAAAATATTTTTGAAAGGTGAAACCTAGTGAAATCTCAGCATAATTTAACTTAAAAAAACTCAAACAGAAGCGAAAATAGCACATTATGATTAGTGACAATTGGGCACGAGGCGTCTGTGCTTGCGCGCGTGTGCAGACTATTAAAGTAAGACATTTGGGCTCCAATTTTGCCTCCTTGCCTGTCTGTTGGCAGGGAACTGACCTTCCAGGGATGCGGGATTCCTGATGAGAATGCAGACCCCGCCATCTATTCTCCAGCACATATTTAAAAAACTGAGATGGGATATTCTTATAACAATTTTGAGTGTTTAATATGCATTGGACTCTAAGCTCTTTTCAATCTATTAACTTGCTTAGTCCCCTCAACAACCCACCAAAACGGACAGTATTATCTACTTTTGGAGAAGAGAAATTAAGGCATAGAAAGTTTTAACAAAAAAGCATGACAAGGCTACCCAGCCAACGCTTGAGAGTTCGGACTCCGGCAGCACAGCTCCAGGGCAGGTGCCCTCACCCCTCACCTATGTTCCTGCAGCCCACCTGGAAGCTCAGCACAGCCACTCTGTGCCCAGACTGCGACACACCCATGACCTGGTGTGCAAACGGCAACACACACCAGGCCCCGTCTTTTGTAGAAGTATACAGCTGCTATACCAAGGACACAGGATATGTGCACACACATAAAAACAGCCGCATGTGACAGAACTCCTTGGCAAATGCCAGAAAAAAGGGGCTAAGAATTTGTAAGTTCTAGAGAAGTTTGGAAGAAGGGGAGATCAGCAAGATTCTGCAGTGTAGGTAGAATCTGACTTTGTCCTCGGACTAAAAGACCAGCAGAGTTACCAGTTTTCTTATTGCTGGGCACTGTACCTGACACACACAACTCAAAGAAGAAGCAAAGGTTTAGATGGCTCACACTTTCAGTCCATGACTCTCTGGCTCCAAGGCAGAGAAACCAGGGGGAAGGATGTGGAGGAGCAGTGCTATTTGGTTTTTGGCAGCTGGGAAGTGGCGGGAGGTAGCAGTGCCACAGAGGCGTGGAAGGACCATCTATAGTCCCCAAGCCGTGCCCCACGACCCACCCAGACACCCAGAAACTGGCTTCACGAATCTGCGAGGTGTTTCTTATTCCAAGGATGCTGACATATCAGGCTGAATGATCACAGGGCAGTTTGGAAAGACAAAGGATTTCTATGTTCAGGAAATGGGGGTCTTCTTTCAGTGAGGAGAAAGGTTTCCATGTGGGCACACAGACTAGAGAGTGGAGGTTTAAAACTGTTTTGGTGAACGTTTTAAAAGCTGAGGAACTGGAGGGGAGACCACCTGCTGCAGGCCACTTGGGCTTCTATGTGCCTCGTGTGCAGGGAGGTGGGACTGGTGGTGCCAATCAGCGCTTTCCAAAGGTTGGTAAGACAGACAGTAGGCGTGCAGGTGATGGAAGTAAGAACGGTTAGACAGCGACCTGCGAGGGCACACAGAAGCCCTCCACACACATACCTACATTCAGATACTTCTCAGCTATCCCGGGGATGAGTATCAGCGGGTGGATATTCCATGGCCTCTCCTCTCCTCCATGCTGTCCTTCTGGCCTGTTCCTCACTGGGTAGCCGCTGGGGGTGGACATGGAATCACAGTGATTTCCCAATTAGTTTCTATTTTTCCTCTCCATAGCAGCTACAGTTAAACGTCTAATGTGGAAAGAGGCATGTCATGGTTACACTTTCGTGGTACATCTACTCCCTTCTCGGAACCATTGGCTGGTGGAGACCAGAAATCACATTTGAACTTAACCTTAGGATTCATGAGTGGTGATGCCTGTCCACCAGGGATGACCCTGAACTGAATAATGTGCTTACAGCAGAAATTTGTTTCTTCTCTCTCTGTTGAGGTTTTTAGGAGGGAGAGGTTAGTTACACTTTTCTTATAAGTACTTGGGTGTATTTCTACAGCCTTCCATAGGCACAATGGCCCCTATCAGGCCCCATTAGCCGGGATACAGTTGCTGTTTCTTCCCAAGGTGAATATTCACTACCAGGAGGCCTGATTAATTTGCTAGGTGAAGAGTGCCATTTGAGTCTAAAACCCAACTGCTGCGTTATAAGGATAGGAAACAAGAAAAACATGGGAAAAACAAAAAAAGGTCGCAATGCTAAACTTACAAAAAACTATTGAATACTATTTCAGACTATTATTACAGGTGTATATGACAACTAAATATATTGTAGAAACTTAGTACACCATTACCACTAATACATGTTCAATAAAAACCAGCACATGGGCCCTGAAATCATCTTTTACTTGAGTCTAGGGATGGAAATATATTTGGGGTACAAAGCAAACACACACACACATGAACACACACACACTCTTATATACACAAACTCTTTCAAGAAAAAGGAAAAAATTGTATGCTTGGCTGGTAGAATCTAATATATCTGTTCTCCCCTGAACATATTTTCATAAATTGTTTATAATCCGAATCCTTGTCAGTTTTTCACCTCATGGCCCTAATAGTGCTAGGGTTCTAGAAAAGGTGGTGAGAAAAAAGTGTATGTAGTTATTTCAGGACACATTACCTGTCACTGTGCCCACATGTCAGCCAGAGAACTGGCTTCTTTGCTTGTGAGAAATTGGCATACTGACCTTCATACAAGATAAAACAAAGCCCCAGCTACTCTGCTTCTCAATTTGTTTGATAAACTAGAATTATTTGCAAAGATCCCAAATAAACAGAAATCATTCTAATTATGAATAATTAAAATGCTCAACTCAAGAGGGCACTCAAGGTTCGTTACGCTGCTGCACTTGCCCGACGGGTAGCACCTCCAATTAGTTCTGTTTTTACAACAGAAGAAAACGGTGGCAGCCAGTAATTGCAGATATTTAGTTCAAGTAACAAAACAAGCTAAGCTGCCCCTGAATCCACAGCTGCCCTCAGCCAGCACAGGCCCTGCTCGTTCAGATTCTGAGCACTGGCACCCATTCTGCAGCACGGGAAGCAGCAGATAATGAAGCACATACTGCTGGAAGCCTGGGCAGCTGTACTTCTGCTTTGTCAGCTGATCCAGGAGCACGTGAAAGTAGGAGGTGAGCTGCCACAGCAAATGGCTGGGAAAGAAGCCCGCTAAAACAGATTTCATAAAATTTTAATCAATGCATTTACTCAATTTGAAAACACTGTCAGGCTTTAGGCTAAATAACAGTTATACTGAAAAATATGTATCTACTTTATGAAGCGGACCTATATATTTTACAAAATAAGCTTATTTTCTCTTGCAATTGCAAATGGTATTTCAGTTACTGAGGTGTATGTTATTTGTTTTTAGAATTAAAATGAGCTGAGGTGGATGTGGAAAGCAAATAGCGCATTCAAGGATGGATCTAAAAGACTTTTTCACTCTGATTCTTTATCAAATTGACAAAAAACATGTAACCTTTCCTTTAAGAAGAGGGGAGGACTCACCAAAAATGTGGTACAAGTTGTTTCAGAATGATAAACCCTAAGTTACCAATTCTACTTTTAGTGATAAGTTGCCTGAGCGTTGGATTTAATTTAAATGGTTATTTTAAAGTGCTTATATTTAATTTAAGCATAATTAGCTAAAGCTCAATGTTGCTGCTTCATTCACTTTGAAATTAATTTATGAACTAGTTCAAAAAGTTCAATCTTAGTGTTAGAATGCATGAGGGTCATTTTGAACCTTCTGTTGGTTTTGGTTAGGGTCTCAGAGTGAGCTGTTCACACTGGCTATGACCACATGGCCCCGGGCCAGCCTGCTGTATGATGGGATCAGACATGGACATGTCCCTGCCATTTCCTGTGCAAGCAGGACATAAGCTGCAACTTTCTGGGAAATAACAGTCTACACCTAGAGATATGATTGTTTAAGTCTTAAAGGGATCTAAGTTTTAAAAATTAATTTTGGCCTTCTTACACTGAGGAGAAACTAATGGTTTTCAAAAGAGTTTCATGAGTATGTGATGATCAGCGTGATAAAATTTCTTGAGTCAGACGAATAAATGTAATCAAGGACAAATTCTGACTTTAACTTGTATTTAAATAAACAGCACAGACTATATACATGGGAACAAGGAGAATGCATAGAACAGCTTTTCCGTGTTTGTAGATCTGAGAATCCAGCCAAGAGTGGTGACACATGCCTTTGATCTCAGAATTTGGATCTTCAAAGTGTGAATTCTCTTTTTTGGTACCGGGGATTGAACTTTGGTCCTTGTGCTTGCAAGGCAGGTCACCGAACCGCTGAGCTAAATCCCTGGCCCCTGATTTCAGAATTTGGGAGACTGAGGCAGGAGTATCTGAGGGTTCAGATCCTGCCTGGTGACTTAGTGAGACCCAGCCTCAAGGGAAAAAAATAAAGAGGACTAGGATTATAGCAGAGTTATGTGGAAGGGATTTCCTGCTGCCCGGGGAAGCCACAATCCTTACAGTGCTGCATAGGCCAAGCCATGCACATCTATCTATTAATGATGGGCTCCATTTATTAGGTACTGAATGTGTATCAAGCACTGAACTAAATACCTAAATGAAGGGCAGGGGGCTCGTTTTACAGATGGAGCAGATGAGGACTGGAGAATCTAGGCTCTCCCCTGAGCTCAGCGTTAGTGGTGGGGATAGGATTCAAAGTTGCAGGTCACAGCTCTACCCCTCGCTGTCCTCAACCCCGCCTCACAGAGACAGGGAAGCAATCCTTGTGGAGAAATGTTTACAATTCTCACCTCCTCCTCCACCACACCCACGGTGCAGTGGGAGCCACGGGCGCAGTGACAGTGTGAGTCAGCTAACGGGAAGGCAACAGATCTGCCTGACCATTAGTGACTAAAGTCTGTCGTCCACTCCTAGCATCCGCTCACAGCAGTACTGGTAGAATTTCTGGTGTTCTAGTAAACCCTAGGCTTTCCATCTCCCTTGGAGGAGATGTGTTCCCCCCATTCTAGCTCAAACCTTCGCACAGCACCTGTGGGTCTTGAAATGGAGAGCAAGCTGCAGGGCGAGCGCCGCCTGCACCTCAAGTAAAGCAGCAGAGTTCTTCCCTCAACGGCACTGCTCCTTCATCCGAGGGTGCTTAAAGCTACCGCGAGTCAGTGGCCCCCATCACCTTCTGCTTCTTTCTGTCGTCCTCCCAGTTCTCCCGCAAGAGCTCGTATGCTTTCTCTTATATGAGAAACCCAAATTGTAAATAAACAGCAACATCATTACGTACCGCAAACACGCACTAATAAAATTGCATTAATAAAGAGCCAGCGTCGAACCATTCTCTGCAGAGACCCTGAACAGTAAGCACAAATACTCCTCCTATCCGGAGAAGACAGCACTGTGATCAGAGCCAACTGTCCGCTGATTTCCGGTTTAACATTTCAGCAGTCACGCCTGACCTTAACTCTGGGCACCCTCAGAGGGCCAAAGGGCTGCAGAGCAAGGCTAACAGAGGGGTCACTGGAAGCGCAGGAAAGGCAGGCTTACAGCAACATACATCTGCTGGCTGATGTGGCCAGGGCGGTAGGACCCATCTGTCTTCTCCTTTTGCCGGCTGCCATCTTCCCATAGGCAAAAAGATTTGAAAACTATGGTGTGGGGTGTTCCTCGAGAAAGCAGTGAGGCTGTACTTCTGCACTTCGTCTGCAAGGAAGCGAATGCAGCCGCCCCTGAGAGTTCCTACTGGATAAGGGAGCAAAGTTACCCAGCATCAAGGCGCAGGCGTGGACAGCCACTCACCCTCACCCGTGAGACGTGCTGCGAAGTCCGAAAAGAATCCATTCGAAGTGCTCTTATTTTTGCTTCAAACCAGCATTACCATGAAATAAAACTGATAGCTTTTTTTGCGGGGAACAATTTTTGGAATATAGAAAAGGTAGTGAAGGGTAAATGGAAACGACAGTTTTGACTGGTGGTGAGTTGAGGCTCTTCCTGTGCCTCTGTGTTTTCTTTGGAATCTTAGACAGGTTGGGTTTTTCTAACAGAAAGAATTTTATTTAGAACATTCCCGTGAAAGGCCTGTTTGACAAAGTGTCATTTTTTGATACACTGGTACACATCCACCTTCATTTTATATTCAAAAGAGGCAAGCAGTGTTTCAACAGCTTTTGACAAGCAGGGGAATCAAACTTCCACACAGCCGGCTCCTACAGTGGAACGCTGGAGTCTGTTTTCTACTCTGCAATTCTTCATGGCAAGTCACAACATTTTTAATTGTGCCCACTTACGGTGGAGAAAGTACACAGGAATTAAAGAGTTATTAGAATGGGAAAAGTCAAGCTTCAATAAAATGCTTCTAAGCAAGTTAGTGTAGTCACCGAGAAAGGCAGCTACAGACGTAGCCCTAAGTGCATCATAAATGAGCAGCAGGAGATAAAAGCAATTTCTAATAAACCACCGCGGAACTGAAGAAATTCAGGTTCGTGTTCTAAATTAAACCCAACTACTAAGTCAGGGATTTCAAAGTCGGGTGCTTTATTTCTGGGCAGCGCAGGCTGTCTCTTCAGCACCCTCCCTGGGATCCCGGGCCTGGCAGGCAACATCCTGAGCTCCGCTGCTCCCCGCCGTTCCCTGCCATACTCGCCCTGATCAAGCCTTCGCACAGGGCCGCTCTGC